AGGATTGAAGTTCAATGCTAAGATATTTAGCGGCATTGTTAGTTCTCAAAACTTTGATAATTTTAAAGAACTGAGTTTTGACCATGGTAGCAAAATCAATATAAATTTGTGGTAACTCAGAGCGATTTTTCATAAGATATATCCAAGTAAAACGAGTATGTTCATCAATAAATAACACAAAGTACCTAAATCCTCTTATGGTAGGTGTCAAAGATGAACCCTACACATCAGAATGCACGAGATCAAAAAAAGCAACAAAAAGAGAATGACTACTAGTAAACGATAAAGCTAGTTGTTTTTGCAGATTGACATGACACATAATGCAATGATTCATTCGAAACAAATCCTAATAAACCACGAGAGATAAGAGGACGGAGTTTATTGACTGAAGTGTGTCCGAGTTGTGAGTGCCATAAATGAAGAAGAGAAATATTAGTAGCAACACAAGCTTGGAAGATTTGTTTATATGGAATTTGCAAAGACTTTAATTCAGCAATACAAAGTAGGGTTTGGATGAATCGGTCATTTGGAAATGATGGTGTATCCATTTTATGATGAGGTATATGCTGATAATTGAACTCAAACAAATGCCCCACTTTGCGACCAATTCCAAGAAGTTGTCCTATTTGTGGGTCCTACACACGACAACCATGAGTAGAGAAAGTTATTTCGAGACCAAGATCACATAACTAACCAATAGATAAAAGATTATAACTTAGTTTTGGAACCAAGAAAGCATTTGTTAAAGTCAATGAATTTATAGAAATATTGCCGATGTGACTAACATTCATTGGCAAGCCATCAGCAAAATAAATGTCAAGAAAAGAATTATTTTGTGACATTGAAGAGAAATAAGCAATAGTTGAAGACATGTGATTACAACAACCAAAATCAAAATACCAAGGTTTAGAACCTAGAGTAGCAGATAATACCAAGGTTTAGAACCTAGAGTAGCAGATAAGGAAGTAGAGGGATTAAGAAGATTTAATATCACTTGTTTTAGAGATTCATGGTTGACAATAGGTTGGTTTATCACCTCTTTGGCAACCATTACAGTAGCAGGATGAGTCACAGTTCTTTCAAAATTTACCATAGAATCAGTAGAACTCACAAAACTAAAAAAATCTCCAAAAATATGAAGAAATAGATGCCAAGATCGAAATTACAATTCAACAAAATACCGACAAAGTTTCAGATCTGGAATCAATTTGAAAATCCAACTCAATAACCAAGCAGTGATAAAAGAACTTGGAGCTTATTGCTTTGATACCATGTCAGAAATCGAAAAGAAGGAGAAGTATTTGAAGAAAAGTTTATTACTTTCTTGAATAATACTATATGTACAATGACCTATATATAGGTGTTTACAAAAAAAAATTTATAAATTATAAAATATATAAAGAAAATATTCTAAAATATAAAATATTTACAATAAGTACGAATATAATCTAAATTATTGTATTCATATCTTAACAACAATTAAGATCTTTCCATTGGATTAAAGGTAGAATAGAGCTAGGGATGTTTGTTTAATTTCGACAACTGGACTTTGGAACCAAAACTGTGTATGAAGACAGTTAGAGGGGAAGGTTACCAGTAAGGAGGAGGGATTAATTGGGGATCTGTTGATTCAGAAAGGCAGCAGATCAGTATATGAACCCAAGGGAGTTGAGTTAGGAAAGGTGCTGCAATTATGATTCATTGTGGACAAACTTTGCGAAGCTGAATTAGAATTTTTTATTGTCTCTTGTTGTGCTGTATATGAACAGTCTATTATAGTATGTTTGTGATGTAGTAAGTCCATAAATTGTTGGATGTAAGGTTTAGACTACCGTTGCACTCTATTTATAAAAAATTATTGTTAAAGAGAGAGAGAGAGACAGAGAATAAACATTTCCCACTGAGGTCGTTGCATTAGGAAGTCGGTATTTGATTGTTTGACAACAAAGTTGAATCTACTAAAAAGAAGTGTGCTGAAGGATAGTGATTCTGGTTGGAATAATTAAAGGATTATAGACTTATATATAATGGGTTAGAGTACCATTAATATTTCTTAAATAAAATTATTTTCTCTTTTGTCTAACTGTTAAAAATTTATAATTCTTAGGTAAACTTCTTGTTTGTTTTTATTTTATTTTTATATTTAACAATATAATTATATAAATCACTTTAAAATAGAATGAAAACAAACATAATGGTATGCTATTGCATTCGACCAAAAATATTATACATGTTTTGAGTTACATTTTAAGTAACACCTCTACATTCACAGACAAATAATAATAATAATAATAATAATAATAATAATAATACCACTATATTTAGTTATATGTGTGGCTATGCAAATAATAATAATAAGTGATAGATATATTTCTTAGTGCTGGCAAAAATTTTAAATTTTCAGTTGATTGGAAATTGGAATTATGTATCATTTTGTGGCATTCACGGAGCTAGAAATATTTTTTAGGGGTGGTAATAATAAACTTTAATTAAGGAAGGCGTATATGTGTATAAATTGAAATTTTAATAAAAGTAAAAAAATTTTAAAATTTTACTGTAAATACGTAATATTTATTAGTCTTTAATAATATATAAATAATAATTAATGAAGTAATACAAATGTCATTAATTGGAAGAATAAAATGAATATTTATAATAAGTAACAGCACATTTAGATGGAAAATTTTTTTTTTAAAAATTATATCTTTTTATTCTCATTTATTTTCCTTTTTTTCTTCTTTACTCATTTAATAAATTAATTAATTAAAAAATAAAATAAATAAAAATTTTCCTCTTCCTTACTCTCTACTCCTTTAATAACTATAAAGAAAAACTTTTACACGCCTGCTCCTCAGCCAAACATTTCCCAGCATGTGAGTCTGCGTGAGAAGTGAAAACTGTGAAAATGTGGAGAGTGGGTGTGGGTGTGGGTGTGGGTGTGGGTGTGGGTGTGGACTGTGGATCCGGCGTGTCCGAATTGAAAAGGGAAATTTCCTTTTTCTAGGCAGACATGGACATTTGTGGTCCCCGCTTGATTAGAATTGTGCAAAAAAAAAGGAAAGAATTACTGTATTCAAGTATTGATTTAACAGTTGACTGTTGGCATGTAGCAGTCAAAACTAACGGCAAGAGCAACGACGTCCAAATAAGAACAACATTGAACGAAGAATGAGGAGTTGAGGGACGACGTTGATCAGTGTTCGGGAAGTAAAGGGACGACAATGAATAATTTGTTAGTGCAAGGTTAGAGATGAACAAAAAATGAAAGTAGAGGGATTACAAATGGCTTTAACCCTTTTAAAAACTCATTTTTGAATCTCACTTCAATAAATTTGTGAGACAAAAATTTACGATAGAAGTTGAAATCGGCCCCTCAACTTACAATGTTGTGGCATATTGACCCTTCTACTCCTTTAGTGGCAACACACCCCTTCTACTTAACAAATCCATGCAAACCACCCCTTTTTAATGGCTGATGCGATTGTGATGTCATCAATCCGTTCCGTCCCTTAATTTGAAAATATTAAATGTCAATTTCATCTCTTAACCTTTAATTTAAAATAATTTTAGTTTTTAAACTATTTTATACATTTTTTTAGTTTTTTAAATTTTAAAAATATATTATTTTTAATCTTTCTATTAGTTAAATCACACATGACCATTCAATTAATCAAAAAATGACACTTTTTGATGATGTGTAAATGGCATAGTTATTGCATATGCACAAAATTGTTTTGTTGGACAAAAAAAAATTATCCACATAATAATTCTACTTATTAAACTAAAATTCTTTTATAATTTAAAATATTAAAAATTACAAAATTATGCAAGTGCCCTAATTACTTCTACTTTCTAAAACTTGTCTTCTTCCCCTTTCTCCCTCAATTATCTTATTCTCCACCATTCTCTCCTCCTCGATGCCTCCCTTCTTCGACATTCTCTCTAGTGCCTTTGTTTTCCCTTTCCTTCCCCCTACTTTTCCCCCTTTCAATGGGTTCAATTGAACCCAAAACATGGGTTCCATCATACCCTAGACCTAGGTTAATCAAACCCCCAATATTCAGGTTAATCTACCCCAAAATCTAGTTAATTGTTGATTTGATTGTTATATGTTAAGTGAGATTTATAGATAAAAAAATTATCAAGTGTGATTTAAATTAAAAAAAGAGGCCACATGTCTTATTATGATTGGTTGGACAATAAATAGCTAAAAATAAGGTTATTTTAATTTGCAATATCATCATTTTGATACCACGAACAACCATTTTTTGGCCATGTAAACTAATGGTATGACAAGTCATTGCCATTTCATTTAGAAAAAGAAAAAGTGTCATTTTTGGATTGAGTTAATGGTCATGTGTGATTTAACTAATAGAAAGACAAAAAAAAAAAATGTGTTTTTAAAAATTGAGGACCAAAAAAAAAAGTGTGAAATAGTTCAATGACTAAAATTGTTTACAATTGAAAGTTTAGGGATGCAAATTCACATTTAAGCTTTTCAAACAACGGAGGAAACGGATTAATGACATCACAATGACATCAGCCATTAAAAAAGTAGAGGGGCCAATGCTACACAACATTGCAAGTTGAGGGGTTAATTTGCACATCTATCCAAAAGTTTACCTTTAAGTACACTTACTTTTAAGCTTTCACAAACAGGCTGTCGATAAATTTCACTATTGGAAAGAATAATTAAAGTTTCAACAACAAAGTTTTTCTAAAAAAATGAATTTTCAACACAAAGGAATACTGGTGGCAGCCAAGAATTCTATGAATCAAGGCCCTCTTCCACTGTGTTGGAATAGGCCCAACATAGGCCCAACATTCAAGCGGGGTTGTGTGCAACGGGCCTAGGCTACCGCCCACTAACCCGAGTTGAGGGGACACTAATGCAAGCATACCCACGTGACCAGCATCACGTGGGCCAATGGGATGCTCGCACGTGCAGATGTATTTCAGCACCAAGGGGCTATAAATACCCCCCCAACTACCTCCGATGGAGGTAATTAATCTCTACGCTTCTCTCTCTACAATTACTCCTTGAGAGTCTCTCTCTACAATTACTCCTTGAGAGTCTCTCTCTCTAGAATATTGAGTATTGCTGACTTGAGCGTCGGAGTGTTTTTCCCTAGGAAACATCCTTGGGATTTTCAGGTGTAGAAGCAGCTAAGGACTTCAACGGTGTTGGACTGTGAAGCTGCCCAAACATTTGGCACCGTCTGTGGGAACCTGAACAAGAAGTTGTGTAGCTTAACCTGCTGAAAGACAAAATGGTTCGTACTTTCACAGGAGGTCGCCCCCCAAGAAATGAGATGGACGAACAGGAGGACGCCCAAGTATCTGAGCCCGGGTTGAATGACTTTAGGCCAATGCCAAGAAACCTCTTCGTCGGGGGAGCCGAACAAGATCACCTAAGTGAAACAGATGACAAAAGAACACTGACTGGGTATGCAACCCAACCTGAACAGTTCCAAGTTCCAACAGGAACAAGACAAAGACCTTCTAGACCACACAATTCACAACATGAACGACCTGAAAGGTCAGCAGAACCTGCTCGGACAACCGAGCTCGAAGAGAGAACCAGAGTTCTCGAAATGGCAATGGGTAAAATCCTTGCCCGTCTGAGTCCTGATGACCCCCTGATTCCTTTGTTGAACAAGGATGCACAACCAGCTGCGGTTGTTGCAACTTGAAACTCCCCCGCTCTAAGCAACATAGTGGTGCCGACCAGGCCAAGGGGAAGGGAGAAGCTGAATATCGAGCCCAGCTCGTCCAAACATAATGAAGAACTGATGAGAAAGAAAAGAATGCAGACCTGGAAAGGCAATTAAGGGATGTACAGAGGTCTATTGACGAGCTGAAGAGTCCCAGGTCGCACCAACAGACTCTTGATTTGGATAATGCCCCTTTAAACCTATCCATCACAGCAGAGCCATATCAAGAGGGATTTAAGATTCCCCACCTGGAGACATATGATGGCTCGGGTGACCCTGATGAACATCTGCATACCTATCAAGCCATCATGAGAATCCAAAATGCCAATGATGCCATGATGTGCAAAGTGTTCCCTGCAACACTTAAGTCAACCGCTAGGAGATGGTATCACAAACTCCCCAGACATTCCATAGATTCATATTCCTAGCTCGCCAAGTTATTCTCCAACAAATTTGTAAGCCAAAGGGAGATTAAACGCACGGCGATCGAGCTGATGCAAGTTCATCAAAAAGAAGGGGAATCTTTAAGGGACTATATGCAGCGATTTAACAAAGTGACGTTAGACATTGATAATGTCCCTGATACCATCTGCTTGTCTGCCTTGCTGCATGGTTTGAAGCGTGGTCGGTTCCTAGACGACCTGTTGGAAAACCCGCCGAAGACGTGGAACGAAGTAAATGACAGGTCGGCTAGCTTCATATTATCAGAAGACTTCCAGTCGTCCAAGTGACGAGCTGACGATAAGCAAAGCAAAAGCCAGGAACAGCCACCGAGAAGGGAAGAAAAGAAGAAACAGAAAGTCAGCAAGTAGTGGGGGAAGTCCGCTGACTTCCCAAAGTATGCCAACTACATCCCTTTAACTTTGCCCAGGTCTCAAATCCTTGCGCAAATACAACACTGGGTTAGAAGACCCTCACCCCCACTGTACGAGTCCCCAAGGGCAGATAAGAGCAAGCATTGTGACTATCATCGTACTTATGGTCACAACACAGAAGACTGTCAACACCTGAAAGACGAGCTGGAGTTCCTAGCTCGCAATGGAAAGTTTGAAGGATATGTTCAGAAGCCCCACGCCCAGCAACCCACTCAAACTCATTTTGTACAGGGGTACGACCGACCTCAGGGGCAGAGATACCAGCTTGGCGGGGGACAGGATGTATATCAGGATAACCAGTATCCTTCTGAGCAGGGCAGGGCGTACAAAGGACGTCAGTTCAACAGGAGAGGGCAGGGACAAAGAGCTGCTGCCCAGAACCAAAAAGATAGGAAAGGGGTAGGTTATGCTGGAATACCCCCGCCCTCAGGTACAATAAATATGATATCAAGTGGTGTTCACTCCGGAGGCCAAAGCGCCCGGGGTCGCAAAGCATATGCACGTCAAGTGATGACAGTTAACAAAAACAGGCCTTTGAAACGCCCGTTTGAAGAAGCAGAGTGGGAAAATGCACCCATCACATTCAGCCCGGTAGACTATGAGCGAACAAAAGGAGAGCCCGACGTTATGATGCTACACGCATATCCTTTTGTGGCAACGGTACATATAGGCAACCATAACGTCAATAAGGTCTTCATTGATACGAGCAGCTCACCGGATATCCTGTATTGGAGCTGCTTTCAGAAAATGCAGCTGAATCCGAGCTCACTGCAGAAACACGAAGGGCCTATATACGGGTTTGACAATCAGCCCGTCCTGGTTGAAGGAATCATTACCCTTCCCATTTATGTGGGCTCGGAACCACGCTTCATGATGGCTTCCGTCACCTTCCTGGTCGTCAAGATGGAATCAGCTTTCAATGCTATATTAGGACGAGCCACCCTGTGCAAGCTGAAGGCGGTTATCTCTCAACCCCATCTCTGTATGAAATTCCCAACTCCCCAGGGGGTAGGAGTGCTTAAAGGAAATCAGAAAATGGCCAGAGCCTGCTATCAAGATACGTTCAAGAAGGTTGAGCTCGCTGCAACACTGGCAGATTCTGAGAATCACAGGCCAACTTAGCCCGTGTAGCAGACAATGAGCATATCAGACATTGAGCATCGACCTAAGGGTGTCGAGCAGAAGGCAGAGCCAGTGTAGCCAGTTGAAACAGTCCCTCTAAACCCTGATGTGCTGGAAAGGACGGTTAAGATCGGCACCAAGCTCACAGAAAAGGAACGTGCAGAGCTTCTGGAGTTTTTGAGGATTAATCAGGATGTGTTTGCGTGGACTACGGATGAAATGCTTGGTATCCCAGCAGAGTTGACAGTCCACAAGCTTAGTACGGACCCCACCAGAAGGCCAGTGGTTCAAAAACGTCTCCTTTTTGGCCCTGAGAAGCAAGCTGCCATAGATGAAGAGATACAAAAGTTGTGACAGGCGGGCTTCATCAGAAGAGTGGAGTACTCTGAATGGGTGTCCAACCCCGTGCTTGTCAAAAAACCGAATGGCAAGTGGAGGATGTGTATTGATTTCACCAACCTAAATGACGCATGCCCAAAAGACCCTCACCCACTGCCAAATGTCGAAAAGCTAGTCGAGCGGGCAGCTGGACACGAATGGATGAGCTTTCTTGATGCTAGTTCAGGTTATCACCAGGTCCAACTGTTATTAGACGACCAGGAGAAAACAGCTTTTTATGCCGGTGACGCAATCTACTGCTATGTGATGATGTCGTTTGGCTTGAAGAATGCTGGTGCAACATATCAGAAACTGGTGCAAATTGTTTTTAAGCTCCAGATCGGCAGAAACATAGAAGTATACGTGAATGACATGATAGTCACCAGTGTACGAGCGAAGATCACATAGGCAACCTGAGTGAGACCTTTCAAAACTTACGCCGAGCTCAAATGAAGCTAAACCCTCTCAAATGCACATTTGCTGTAGAGTCAGGAAAATTCCTAGGGTACGTGGTATCCAAGAAAGGAATTGAAGTGAATCTGGAGAAGGTTCAGGCCGTTCGGCAGATGGAGCCGCCCAAGACTGTCAAGGATGTACAGCGGTTGACGGGCCGCGTAGCTGCGCTGCATAGGTTCATAGCCAGGTCGGCGGAAAAATGCCTCCACTTCTTCAAGGCCTTACGAGAGCCTAAGAACTTTCCATGGACTGCTGAGTGTCAGAAGGCGTTTGACGAGCTCAAACAATATCTGGCATCAGCACCCCTGCTGTCCAAGCCTGTGGAAGGGGAGAGTTTATACATGTACTTGGGGGTTACAGAAGAGGCAGTGAGCTCAGTTCTGCTCAGGGAGGAGAATAAGAATCAGAAGCCTATCTGCTATGTGAGCAAAGTTTTACAAGGTGCCGAGCAGAAATACCCACTAGTAGAAAAGGCTTTTTTTGCTTTGGTCTGCGCAGCTCGTAAGCTGAGAGCTTACTTTCAGTCTCATCAAATTGTTGTCTATACTGATTTTCCGCTGAGGAAGATATTACAGAAGCCAAAACTCTCAGGCCGGCTTATCGGATGGAGCGTCGAGCTGAGTGAGTACGACCTCAAATTTCAGCCGCGCACGACTATAAAAGGCCAGGTTGTGGCAGATTTCTTGGTGGAATGCATCTCGACGACTGTGAAAGAAAAGACACCAGAACACCCAGTCTGGGTTTTGTATGTAGACAGAGCTGCAAATGTTGAAGGATCGGGTGCTGGAGCTGTGTTGCTGGGTCCTGATGGTTTTAAATCCGAGCATGCGCTGAGGTTCAAGTTCCAGACGACTAACAATGCTGCAGAATATGAAGCACTCATTTATGGTCTGAAACTAGCATCTGAGCTGAAGGTACAGAGCATTCAGATTTTTAATGATTCTCAGCTCGTTGTATGCCAGGTAAATGGCAGCTGTGAAGTTAGGGATCCCCAGCTTGGCCGTTATACCTCCGTGGTCAACAGATTGAAGTCAAGATTTGCTTCCTTTCATATCGACAAGATACTCAGAGCAGATAACCAACGAGCTGACTAACTATCAAAGTTAGCCTCCTCGCAAGAGACCAACCCTCATAGGTCAACAATAGTGGAGGTACTTGATGCTCTTAGCTACACCGACTTCACAGTCAAGTGTCAGCTGCTTAGCACAGATCCCTCTTCACCGAGCTGGACTACCCCACTCATAAATTATATGCAAAGTGGCGAGCTACCTGAAGATCTGTCTGTTGCGAAATTGATTAAACGTAGGGCGGCACATTTTACTTTGTTAGATAACTAGCTCTACAAACGAGCAGCTTCAATGCCCCTACTATGCTGCCTTACTCCTTACGAAGCTGAATACGCTGTGAGGGAAGTTCACGAAGGAGTATGTGGCATGCACATCGGTGGCAAAACTTTAGCTCGGAAACTCCTGAGGCATGGTTATTACTGGCCCATTATGGTCGAGGATGCGCAGAACTATGTCAAAAAATGTCCGACCTGCCAGTTCAATGCTGATGATATACACATGTTAGGTATATGAGCTTGTTCTGAAGATCATGCAAACTTCCTGTTTGTCTATAAACTGAGCATAAGTATCTTCCTTGAAACAGGGAAAATGCTATCATCTCTCACGTCTCCCTGGCCCTTTGCTCAATGGGGTGTCGACTTGCTCGGCCCTTTCATCAAAGGCAAAGGAGGTTTTACTTTCCTAGTCGTTGCAGTGGATTACTTCACTAAGTGGATAGAAGCTAAACCATTTTCCACGACAATAGAAAGGAAAATAAAAGAATTCTTGTTCAATTCAATATTGTGCAGGTATTCTTTGGTGACTTAGGTCATGAATAAATTATATGCAAACGTGGTTTGTAGCTCAGGTCGGTCATCTGTGTGCAGGTTCGGCATACCTAAGCGGATTATTGCTGACAATGGGCCACAGTTCCGAGCAGCAGCACTAAGATCGTTTTGTAACGACTATGGCATTGAGCTCGCCTTGACATCCGTGTATACTCCACAGTCTAACGGACAAGCTGAGTCCGCCAATAAAATTGTCTTGCGAGGCCTCAAGACACGTGTTTTAGCTGCACATTCTAATTGGGTTGACGAGCTCAATAAAGTGCTCTGGTCTTGTCGTACTACACCCAGCTCGGCCACGGGCGAAACCCCTTTCAGCCTGGCCTATGGAGCTGAGGCCGTCATCCCAGTAGAGGTTGGATTGCCATCTGATCGAGCAGGCTGGCATGACGATCTCAACAACGAGCAACTGTTGAGAGAAAACCTAGACTTCGTGGAAGAGGTCAGGGAGATGTCTAGAATAAGAAACATGGTGCATCAAAGTCGTGTTGCAAAATTTTACAATAAAAGAGTTTGAGCTCGCCAGTTTCAAGTCGGCGATCTGGTTCTACGCAAAGCTGGATTGACGAATGCTTACTTGCACATGGGCAAGCTCGCGCCTAATTGGGAAGGACCTTATATGGTTATTTCTATTCAACGACCTAGGTCTTACCGGTTAGCAGATTTACAAGGTCATCCATTACCGTTCATTTGGAACATACATAACCTTAGAAAGTTTTACAGTTAAGAGTTAGCTTTACAGTTAATATGTATGTTATTAGCGTTCAGGTCGTCATGGATCAGTTGTAAATGGCATTTCATAAAGAAATCAACACACAGAAAGTACAAAAAAGGAAATTCAATTTGTGTTTCATCAATGATCATTTACAGTTGAAGTACATGACATATAATGTCATTGATCAATACAAGTAATCAAAAGAAAATACAAAAAGTCAAAAAGGAAAAACCCTAAGTCTAGTCATCCGTCAGATCGACGGGTATGGATGCATCAGCAGCAGCTGCAGGAGAGCGAGTTGGAGGAGACCGGGCTACGGGTTCAGAAGCTGGTGCATTAACGGGCGAGCTGGCTGGCACCACAACGAGTTGAGAGCTGGGCGGGGTGCTTGAAGGCTCCTGCTCAGCTACAGGAGCACCCTCTACCCATGCGTCAAAAGAGGGCAGCCTTGTTGGATCCTCCCCGTCCTCAAGGACCTGAGGAGGCCAAACAGGCACTCCCTCCTTGTTGAGGTCCCTCCTCGTTGAGGTCCCTCCTCGTTGAGGTCCCTCCTCGTTGAGGTCCCACCTCAACCGCACCGTTGCGTCGACAATGGGAGCAAGACTCTTCCCCTGCTCGTCCAGGTCCTCCCCGTCGAAGAATGCCAGCTCGCCAATCGGGAAGTCCAGGCGGTGTTGCAGCACCTTCCCACGGATCTCGTTGTAGATCTTCGTGGTTACATTTGCAAAAGCCACCACCACGGCGTCCTGAAACGCAGCCAAACCCACGAACCATTCCGCCCCTTGAGCTCGAGCAATGCTTACAGAGCGCGCGTGGGAAGTCTTCAGCTCGTTCAGCGACTCCCCGGCAGCAGTGAGGTTCTGGTCGTCCTCGGCGACCTGGTGCCTAAGGGAGCTCAGCTCGTGCTGAGCGCGGTCCCATCGGCCTCAGCCTTCTTGGCCCATTCCTCAACCCGGGCAGCTTCCTCCTTAGCTGCCTGGATCCCACTCTCTCTTTCAGCACGGGCTCACTCCAACTCTTCCCTAAGCTCATTGTTTCTGTTGGCAAGCTCGTCCGCCCGGCTCTCTGCAGCCGCAGCTCGATTCGCCATTTCAGAGCCTTGCAGACGATTCACATCGTCCACAAGGCTAGCCTTCTCAGCAACCAGCTGTTTACATTTTGAACCGAGCTTGCTGTTCTGTGTACGAGCCCCCTGCTCACTCTTGTAGAACGCTACAGCGTAGCTGAATTCCTGCCAAACAGCAACAATCATAAGTACCTAGTAAGGAAAAGTAAAACACTTAAGCAAGTACGAGCAAATACTTACGTCCATCAGTTTGATCATGGCGACCTGGCCGCCATTCTGCTGCACAAAAGCTTTTGCCCGCTTACTATCCGCGGGGGGCACAAAGCTATGCATGCCTTGCACCATGGTGGGCTGGCACTCCGCCCTCACATAGCTGAAGCCCTCAGGATAAGCGATCCTAGGGCCCGACACTGAGGCCGACGTAGAAGCAGGCTCTGCTGCTGCCCACGCGGTGGGTGAGCGCACGAACGCAGGACGAGCCACCTCTACGAGTTGAGTCCCCCCGCTTGTTCTGCGCCGGATTAGGGGGACCTCGTCCTCACTTTTTGTTTCTTCCCGTGCACGCCTGCGTGCACTCAGGGCCACGACCTCAGCTCTATGATCGGCCCGTGGCCTTGACGCCGAGCTCAATCCTCGGTGTGACGAGCTACGCGATTGAGGCGTTGGAGGCAGCCGCTCGTCAAAACGCGTCTGTCTCTATGAGGTGCTGCCCGCTCCTCGACCTCGTGAGCCCTGGGCTTGCTGACGCTGGCGCTCGAGTATGTTGCTCATCTCTCCTGCACAAACAAATGTATAAGACTCAGCCCGGCTAGAACTTATACTATATGATAGAATTATACCTTTGCTAAACAGGTTTGCCACGTCGACAAACCCGAACACAGCGAGCAACTCCGGGGTAACCAGGGCCTTGAGATCTATCAAATTTTCGCTCCTTGCGTGCTCCAGCAGCCGATTCTTGAGATCTATGTCTCGTGGGAGCAGCTGAGGGTAGTTGACATGTGCATTAGGCACACGCCATTCAAATAGTCGGGCAGTGAGGTCATTGCTTATTCTCTCTGTTCGCGTGTCACGAACAAATATGAATTGCCTCTTCCACCTCGCCACTTTGTTCCGAACGTTCTTGAACAGCTGGCTCTTCTCTCGCCCGGAAAGGTAATACCACTTTGCGCCTCGAGAGTTGGGACACATCCGGCATTGAAACAACGACCTGAACACGATCGCCTTGGCCGGTACCTCTAATCGAACACACAACAGCATAAAGCCAATGATGAACCTTATGCTGTTGGGCATCAGCTGCGTTAACGCCAACTCGTAGTCCGCTATTAGGTCGAACACTAGCCCGGGCAAGGGAAACCGTAAGCCAGCGTCAAAGTGGTCCACGTACACTAGTATCCAGCCCGTTTGCGATACTATGCATGCCCTTTCATTCTGCCCGCCTGTCAGGAGCAATATGGTTTTGGGGATGTGGTACGCTCCCACCATCTCCTCCAGTCTCCTATACCCACTTATTGAGGGCGCACAGTCTGCTACTTCATGATGAAGGGCAACTCGGAACCTAAACCCAGCGGGCAGATCCTTGGGCGCCTTTCGTAGATTGCTTATCCTGCCCATGATCATTCTACTTTCCCACTCCCCAACTACAGGGCGGTCTGAGACATGACCAACCACATCCCCCGTCCCTTCCTCGCGACTGGGTGTCTCTTCTGAGGACGAGCTGCTAGACGAGGCAGTAGGGTGGTCGCCACCGTTGTCCCTAGCACTCGAACTGGTGCTGCTCTCAAGCGCCATTGTTTCCGGCAAGTCTTGCAACTCCGGTGGCACTATCATTGTGATAGGCTCTGCTGATATTACCCCCTCTTCTTCTTCTTCTTCTCGGCCCTGGTTACCTCGTAGCTCTCTAGGTTCTCTAAGCGAATCCATTTATTACCTTAGGTTGTTGAGTACGTTGCTAAGTTGATGCTCTGGTGATGTGTTCTTCATGCTGCAAACACACTGCTACAGAGAATTTCAGAAGTTCAAAAACGAGTGAAGTGAAAAGTGGCATAACCGTTCCCCTTTTCCATCCTCTGAAACAGCAGTGCCAGCATTAATTGCCATACACGTGCCTTCAACGCGCCAATTAGCGTCCTATACGTGGCACGCGCTTAACACCCCCTTTGCATAGCGTGCGCCTGCTTTAGCTGGCACGTTCCCTTAAATACCAAGCCAGCATTTATGACGGGGAAGACAGAGAGATACGGGGAGATCAATCGTATCTCCCCAGAGATTTGGCAGATTTGGAAAATCCACAAGATTCAGATCGTAACGGCCGAGGTGTACTCTATCACGTCACGTCAGCTCGCCATTGTGAGCACACTTACCAGGTTGTCGCAAGCGTGACATATTTTCCAAGTCGGCTCAACCGGGATAGTTCATTCACAGTTATAGCTTGTTCGCTAAAATACCCCAAGATTCAGTTCGTTACAGGTTGGTCTGCCCCCTTTTCCCGTCCACTTCAGCTCATTAGGATGCTCTCAGATTTTTTCACAGACCAATGGATATCTGAGGTCACCCCTATTTAACCTCAGATTGTGCTGTGGGTGAGGTCACATCGTCTCAGCTCGTCATTATTATTGCGTAACAGCATCATCGTCGCTTCAGTACCCTCGGTAGCACGCGTGGGTCAGATGGTCACGTGTTCTCTCGCGCTTACATTAACGTTGACAAGTTCGCTGAAATAGCGAATAGCACCTTGTGTACGTGACTATTCCCTGCGCAACCTCGCCTGCACACTTTCAGGCTCGCAAGCTTGCCTTTTTTCGTGCCACCTTTCAGCTCGGTCGTCGTCGAGCTCGGCTGCGAGCTGTTAAGGCTAGGCCCAACATAGGCCCAACATTCAACCCAATTCGTCAATCGAACGCCGGGGGGGGGGAGTAATGTTGGAATAGGCCCAACATAGGCCCAACATTCAAGCAGGGCTGTGTGCAACAGGCCTAGGCTACCACCCACTAACCCGAGTTGAGGGGACACTAATGTAAGCATACCCACGTGACCAGCATCACGTGGGCTAATGGGATGCTCACACGTGCAGATGTATTTCAGCACCAAGGGGTTATAAATACCCCCCCAACTACCTCCGAAGGAGGTAATTAATCTCTACGCTTCTCTCTCTGCAATTACTCCTTGAGAGTCTCTCTCTCTAGAATATTGAGTATTACTGACTTGAGCGTCGGAGTGTTTTCCCCGAGGAAACATCCTCAGGATTTTCAGGTGTAGAAGCAGTTAAGGACTTCAACGGTATTGGACTTCAACGGTGTTGGACTGCGAAGTTGCCGAAACACACTGCAACAAAGTTTCAAAAAAAAAGTTTTAATTGAAAACCTAACTACATTTGAATCCCCCTAGCATGGAGCAACTTCGAATCTAGGGTCTATATTCCCCCTTCCACATGAATAAATACCATTGTATACTGTAATAATTGCTCCTTATCCAAAAAAAAAAAAAAAAGAGTGAATTTAACTTTCTGTACATGGCAAACTGTGAGACAAGCGCTACTCCTCTTAGGTGTTCTCCGTTTTTTTTTTTAAGCCTCCCTCTTTTTCAAGCCTCCCTCTTTTTCTTTCCTTTTTGTCTCTTTCGATTCTTTTTCTAATATCAAAATTGCAATTGCAATTCTCTATCCTTCTTTTCCCTTAACCAATCTAAACCTAACCAAAAGAAAAAGGGATTTGGCGACTAGTAAATTAGTGCAGATTAGTGGGTTCCTTATTTCAGAATCTCTTTCATCTAGTTACTTCTCCTTCTTGTCTACCTTGATTTCTTCTTCTAAATCAAAAGTCAAAAAAAAAAAAAAAGAGAAAAAAAAAAAAAACCTTTTGAGGGTTGGCAACTACCTTGTACGACCTTTGTGAAAGGTTAGGTGTTGGGTGACTGTAGGATTGTCATATCTCTTTTATTGCTGCAAAGCCGCCTTTGTTCAAACAAGCATAAATAAGTAAGGGGTTCTTTTTCTGTCCAAATAAGGATGCAAACGGGCAAAGATGTCATGATGCACAAGGGTGACTATTTCTATTGACATCATGATCCTTTATGGTTGGAGGTAGGAAAGGCAGAATGTTCTAATATATTGATTAGATAAAGAAATCAGGTTTGCTCTTTTGGAATTCTTAGAGATTTCATTTTAAGATTTTTATTAACGTGTACTTTATCCAAAGAATAACATATGATCATACAAGAGGAGGAAAATGAAGATTCTAAATTTTCGGGAATAGTCTCATTTTTAGTTGTATATGATATTAGCATGGTGGTACAGTGAATGAGGACGAAAGTTCAGTAAACAATTTTTTTACACCTTGTAGCTTTGTTGTAATCCTTATAGTCACATTTCAATGTAGGTGGATTATGTTGAAAAGTGACTTTATTTTCACATTTCAAGTTCGACTTAAGTTATGATATTTATATAAACATTTGATTGTTAGCCTTTAGATATATCAACTAGATTAGTCTATGAAAAAATTATAATTTGTACTATAAGTTATGCTTTTTTATCTTATGTATGGCTTTTATGGCAAGCGATGGATACATTGTAAGTTTTTTATTTTTATTTTTTGGTACATTTAATAATGATGGGTTATATTAGAAAGAATAACTTTCTCATTTTCTTAAATCTTTTTCCATTCAATTTAAAATTTGCATTTGAGATATCTAATTTGAAATTTTAAACTCTTAACCATAAAGTTACTTCTTTATGAGTTGTCAGTTTTTTATTATTAATATATATTCTTGGTTTTACGAAAAAAAAATTAAGAGAATTTTTTTTATACAACTCTTTCATATAACCTTTTATTTAATGATTGATTTTCTTTTATTTTATTAAAATTTATAATATTATATATTTCAATTCATTAAATAATATATAAAGGTAATATAAAAAATTATGAAAAATATGTACTCATATCATTACACTGAAATAAATGTGATGACTGTAGACAGGGGCGGAGGTAGAAATTTTTTTCAAGGGGGTAAAATATTAAAATTTTCAAAGTTTAAGAAAGATTAAATAATTTTTCATATACTAATTTACAAGATTTTCAAATTTAAGGGAATGAGCATCGCCCCTCGCACCCCTGGCTCCGCCACTTACTGTAGAGGGGGTAAGGTTATCACCTATTGGAATCTTAAAATTATCAAAATTTGTAAAATAATCTTTAAAAATATTAATTTTATTTAATTTAATTGATAAAAATAATTAATAACTATAATTAATAATTAGTAATTAATAAAATAATTAATATTTATTAATTAATTATTAAAATCAATCAATAAATTAATATTTTTAAATATTATTTAAAAAAAACTAAATAATAATGATTCTAACAATTTTTTTATAGCGATGATAACTGCGCCGTATACAGTAGAGATAATGACAAATGGAAATGAAGGTAAGAAAAAGGCTTGAGCCCCCTGGAAGCCCTTAATCAATTGGAGGTCTACCAGCGGGTTTTTCTTATTTTAAAAAAAAAAAATGATTGGCTGTAATGGAAGATATTATTCTGCCGGTTAAAATTAATTTTTAGTCCCTTATTTTATAAAATTGATAAATTTTAACTCATAATCTTATAATATAACATTTTTAGCCCTTTATCTTATAAGGTTGGTAGATTTTAACCTTTTACCTTACAAAATTAGTATGTTTTAGCCCATCATCTTATATTATGACACTTTTAACCCCTTATCTATACGAATTAAAGAAAATAATTCTCACTTAATATCAGGTTATAATATTCTATTAGTTTTATTAGTTAACTGTTAGTTCTGTTAGCTTTATTAATTGACTGTTAGTTCTGTTAGTTTTATTAATTGACTGTTAGTTCTGTTAGCTGATTGTTAGCATTCGTTAGTATTTCATTAATGGAACTAATAAATAAAATTGAATTTAAATTTCATGTTTTTTATAATAAAATGTTAACAGTCAGTTAACAGAATCAACAGAATGTTATAACCTAATATTAGGTGGGAATTATTTTCTTCAATTCGTATAGGTGAGGGGTTAAAGATGTCATAATATAAGATGAGGGGTTAAAAATGTCATAATATAAGGTAAGGAGTTAAAATCTACTAATTTTGTTAGATGAGGGGTTAAAACTTACCAAATTTGTAAGATAAAGAGTTTAAAGTGTCATATTATAAGATTAAAGGACTAAAACTTACCAATTTTGTAAGGCAAGGGGCTAAATATTGGTTTTTGCCTTATTCTGCCTTGGTCGTGAAAACTTAGCGAGCGGTCCAAGTGCACAGAGTGCCTTCAACAACTTGAATTGCAAATGCGGACACGTCAGTTAAACCCCTCCTTGCATGATTGCCGCTTCATTTTCTAGTTTCTACTCAACGCTTACCTTCCCCTTTTTTGTCAAACTACATTTTTTCAATCCCCTTTCTTTCATCTCAAAAACCCAATAAATATCTGCACGCAAGATTCAAGCTTTCAATCACTGACACTGGTTTTCTCGTCTTCCTTACCTGGTTAGTGCTTTTCCTCAACTGGATTCTTTTTGTTTTTTTGGAATATTGAGGCATACATGAGGTCATTTTATCTTTGGTTGTTTGGTTGAATCCATGATATTGATTCTTTTGTGGTTCCTTTATTGATTAAATTTAATGTTTTGGAGTTTTTCTTGGCTATATAATTTCTACTAATACCGATTCATTCATCTGATATTGTTTCTTATGTGGTTCACTATTTTCCCAGCTGGGAATTTGCTTTGAATTAATGGGTCTTATGGCTCTTGTGTTATGATTGGTGTTGTTTCACAGCTCTGCCTAGGTTTTTTTTTTTTTTTTTTTTTTTTTTTGATTCATAATCTGAAGTTTCATGCGATTCTATTATCATGTTTATGCTTGATTTCAGATTCTTGATACAGCAAGAACTATGTATGGCAATTCTTTTGATTTTCCTGATTTGAAGTAAAATTTTGTTTTTTAATCAAGGATTTATTTCAGTAACATTTTTTATTATGTCATTTTTCTCGTTTCTAATTGTTAATTTGTCAACTATAGGCATATGCTGCTGATATGTTAGCAGTTTTGGCTTCACACAGCTGTTACTCCCACAGTATTGAGCTGATGGATAGAGGAAGAACATTGAATTGTCTCAGTTTCTCAAGCTCAATATTGAATCAATTTGTAAAATTTGAGAGGCCCAAATGCATCATTCCTATGGCAAATAAATCATCCAGATTGAAAGTGGAGATGCAACAAACTGAGTCTCCCTCAGGAGTTCGTCCCAATGGACAAGCTGTTAAAATGGTGCCTGCAAGTGACATAGCGAAAAGAAGACCCCCATACACCAGTAAAGTAGAAAAGGTGAATGGTGTAAAGCAGGTTGTTAATGGTGCTAGTATAATTAGGAGAGATGCTAAGCCAGCCTTGGTTAGGTCCCCCAGTGGTAGAATCCCTACAGAACTTCCACCAATTGAAGAGCTAAAGGTTCTGCCCTCAGATGAAACTTTCAGTTGGGCCAATGAGAACTATAGTAGCTGGCAGAGAACTGTAGATGTTTGGTCTTTTGCTATCTCTTTGCGTGTCCGTATTCTGTTAGACAATGAGAAATGGGCATATCCAGGAGGCTTCACAGATGAGAAGCAGGTAAATCTTCTGTCAGGCAATGAGAAATGGGTCGTGTTGAATCTAGTGTGGATTCTGGTTACATCTTCTCCAGGACTTCCTGACCCATGCATACTGCATTCCTGACTCTTCTCGACTTGTGTCATTTGTTGCATATGAAATATGGTTCTGTACCTAAAACGCTTTATCTCTCTAATGCAGAAAAAAAGAAGGAAAAAAACCGCCTCTTGGCTTCGTGAGTGTGTATTGCAACTGGGTCCTACTTTTATAAAACTTGGACAGTTATCTTCGACAAGATCAGATCTATTTCCGTGTGAGTTTGTAGATGAGCTTGCCAAATTACAGGTACTTATTGTATTTTATTCCATGCTGGCATTTAAAAGGCTTTATGGTATACACTTTTAGATGCTGACATATAACTATACAAGCATCAATGTAAAAGTTAGTTACCTTGTTAATGTATTTTATTTTATTTTATTTTATTCATTATGTGTTTTCTCTAGCCAACATCCAATAGGTGAAATTCATTTCTGGTTTTTCTCATATTAATTTTCTGTGATTCTCATAACATAATCCAGGATAGGGTCCCTGCATTCTCTCCGGAGAAAGCAAGACGGTTTGTTGAGACTGAACTTGGAGCTCCCATCAAAGATATATTTAAGGAGTTTGAGGACCGACCAATTGCAGCAGCTAGTCTTGGCCAGGTGTTTGTTTCATCTTCACCATTCACTTTTGGTATAGCCTTAAAGATATTATGGGATTATTTTCCTATTTATTGCCTTTTTTACTAGTTTGGAGAATGATTGGGTATCGGTAGAGGAGAATTTAGCAGCAGGATTTGGTAGAGCCTAATAGTTTCTTAAGGTTTGCAATTCTAAAATTAGAAGGTAACATAAAAGCAACACCTTAGGTTCTCTTTCTACAACAATGGGCAAAAGTGGCATTGTTTATGTGGTTGCTCACACCAATTTGAAGCTATGTCAGTTATGCTTCTAATTCAGATTGTGAATGCTGAAGTTATAACCAATCACAAATAATGGTACCTTATAATTGTCATATAATTTGCAATTTCAAGCAGTGATAATTATCTTCATTGATATGAATTTTTAAGAGTTTTTTTTTCTCTAGGTGCATCGAGCTATGCTGCATAATGGGGAGAAAGTTGTTGTGAAGGTTCAAAGGCCTGGTCTCAAGAAGCTCTTTGACATTGATTTACGTAAGTGACATGCATATTCCCTGAATCTTCCATAACAATAATGTGTTTATTTAAAATTACTGAAAGATAAGAGTTTTTCTATTCTTTTTTTTTTTTTCATCAAATGTTTTCGTTATGATATTTGCCTCTCAGATTCAAGGTATATTGATTTACTCTGTTCTCCCAAAAAACATGGAGGATTATGTTAGCCAGTCAGTCAGTATTGCTGTTGTCTCAAATTTTGGAATCCATTAGTTCTTTTATTTTCCATTGTAATTTAAGAAACAAGGTAGTTGAGATGGGAAAAGGAGCATTATAAGAAATCATCCAATCTGACAGAAGTTGTAAGTCCTTTTAAATGCTGGTGGAATGGACCAAGCTTTTTTTCTTGACAATATTGTTCTTTGAATAAATGAGCACTGCAAAATGAAAGAAAAATAAAAGAGAAAGAAAAAAAAAAAAAATTCTTTGAGTGCATTTAGCTCTCTGTATATGAGATCAACTAGATATTGGTCAAGAGATGGATGCTTCTTATGCACTGCAGATTCAATGGCATATCATATCTGTTCCTTGGATCTTTGAGGATATTGCTTTCATCAGTTTCTTAATTTATTCACTGTTCCTCCTATCCAGGAAATTTGAAGTTAATTGCAGAGTATTTTCAGAGCAGTGAAACTCTTGGTGGTCCAACAAGAGACTGGGTTGGCATATATGAAGAATGTGCCACGTAAGTTGCAAGCACTTTAGATGTTTATTGTGTCAGCTGGTCTTAAAAGATGATGGGAAATCTTGGTGTGTAAGAACATGAGAAAACCTCAACAGTGTTGCATTCTCTTTGATGTCAGGATTTTGTATCAAGAAATTGATTACATAAATGAAGGGAAAAATGCAGACAGATTTCGCCGAGACTTCCGGAATGTAAAGTGGGTCCGAGTACCTGTATGTTTCTGTCTACGAAGCTCTGCTATGTTGTTGAATATTCTGTTATATATGAAGTAAAGACCTTCTCACTCATTGGCCTTACTTGTTTCCTTTTGCAGATGGTCTATTGGGATTATACAGCCACAAAGGTTTTGACTTTGGAGTACGTTCCAGGTTAAACTCTAAACTAATTTGATTTCTTTTGCCCACCACGACTTTCAATCATTACTATTTTGAAGCTGAAATTAAAAAAATAAAAAAATAAAAAACACTTTGGCAATGAGCTTTTGATGGTTTTTAGAACACTGTTGTTTCTATGCCAGGTGTTAAGATCAATCAGTTGGAAGAGCTAGATGCAAGAGGATATAATAGATCTCGAATTTCATCGCATGCTATTGAAGCATACTTGATTCAGGTAAGTTAATTCAACTGTCTCAAATGAGCTATGTGGCCACTCAATTGTAACTGTCAAAATATGGCTACTGGCTTGTTTATTTACTGGATTCTGCTTATATTTCAGATACTAAAAACTGGTTTCTTTCATGCTGATCCACATCCTGGAAATCTAGCCATTGATCTTGATGAAGCACTCATTTATTATGATTTCGGTATGATGGGGGAGATAAAAAATTTTACTCGTGAGAGACTACTTGAACTTTTCTATGCAGTATATGAGAAAGATGCGAAAAAGGTCTACCTTCTATCTCTTGGTACTGTTGCTCTGATTTTCTTCTTTCTCCTAGTTCAATTTGTACTTTGATTGAAGAACCTTCTCAGAATCAAAACATGAGTATGGGAGACCAAGGATTTATCCCATATGTGCAAACAGTACATCTGCATGTTCATTTCTACCTTGGCAGTTGGACCATAACACATTTAAGAAATTTTCAATTAAATGCATTTAAAGCTTTATCATTTATTTTTATTCTATTTTAACCATAATTAAGTCCTTGAACCTCGACAGCCACAAAGAAAAAAAAAAAAAAAAAAAAAAAAAAAGAAGGATCCTTGAACCTTAATTCTCCAATATATCTCATGTTAGTGCTGAAGCTGACGATCCATCCTGAACAGTCAGGTTTCTGTCCTACAACTTGCAAAATGACTCATGACAACCGTGCAGGTTATCAAATGCCTTATAGATCTTGAAGCACTTCAACCTACAGGAGATATGTCACCGGTAGGCCACCAAGCAATACATATTGCAAGAAAATATGAGTTAAAATGGTCTTTAGAGTCCTTATTTAATATTTTATTTCATATTCTTCCAGGTGAGGAGATCCGTGCAATTCTTCTTGGACAATTTATTAAACCAACGTCCAGACCAGCAGAGCACTTTCTCTGCAATAGGAGAGGTACGGGAATGTGAGCATGCTCATTAGCATCTCCATTGGAGATGTTTCAGGTCAATAGTAAGCTGAAAAGGAACAGAATGGCATGGCATTTTCAGAGAAGTGCTTCCTCAAACACTTGGCTTTACGTTATTTGGCCCATATACCTTCCCTTAGAATTTCTCATGGACCTATACATTCAGTAGATAAAGCAAAAGAATAATGGTGCAATTATATTAATATTACCATTTAAATTTACTCCGTCGCTCAAAATAATAAGCATTTTTTAATTTTTTTTCTTCTGAAAAAGGATTTAAGGAGAATTTATCTTTTTACCTATGTTATTTTTAAAAAAGATGCATAATTAAAATTATGAGATAACAATAAAGTTAAAGTAAGAAAAAAATATTTGTAACGACTATTATTATGAGACGAATTCTAAATAAAAAAATGACTTATTTTGATAGAGAGGGAAAAATTAACTTAATAGTAGAACTTAAAATTTCATCCAACTTTAAAAAACAAAACGTAGGCATGTTGGCTACTGTCAGAAATTTCTAGAAAAGGAAATATAGATGGAAGGCACAGTATATTGGATGACACGACGAGTGTTCATTTTGTAATGGTACTGTTATTTGTTTCTGTTCTGCAGGACTTATTTGCAATAGCTCAGGATCAACCATTTCGGTTCCCAGCCACCTTTACCTTTGTTTTGAGGGCATTTTCAACACTTGAAGGTTCTCTCTCTCTCTCTCTCTCTCTCTCTCATGCACACAGGGACATTCAGACGCAAGCATAACAAGCAAGGACATATGCTCTCATGCACACCTTCATCATGTATATTTGAAGTCAGTTTATATAGAAGTTCTATAATACACACAGGCATCCCTATAACCCATACAACAAGCATAGGTATTTGCACTCATATGCAAAGTATCATCTTGTATAGCCTTTGAAGTCAATTTTTCAGGGAAAAAAACTCCAATTTGGATGTATAAAATTTAGAAGCTGTATAATGCTTGAAGATGTTACAAGCACAATTATTGCATTGTTAGAGCTCCAAGGGTCCTTATTTCCCTGAAGATTCTCTGTCTCACATAAACATTTGCATGTAAAATCTTATCTTTGCTTGAATTATAAGCACTGTTACTGCTCTATTCTGAGTATATGATAATTTACTTGCAGGTATAGGCTACATTCTTGACCCAGATTTTTCTTTCGCAAAAATTGCTGCACCTTATGCTCAGGTTTTTTACTCATTCTCCTACATAATCATGATGTTCTCTAGTGAATTCATCTTTTATACTGACCTAGCAGTTTGTTTAGAGTCAAAGGAATAGCGCTGATTTTTTATGCTACCTGCAGGAGCTTTTAGATATTAGACAAAGACAGCGAACCGGAACACAGATAGTGGAGGAAATAAGGAAACAAGCTGATGATGTGCTACACTCTTCTCCTGTTGTTTCTGCATTTACTTCAATTCCTTCTGTGTCTAACAGTCTTGAAACTAAGAGAATCTATTTATGTTTTCAGGCCAGGTCTTACACCATGTCCATGCCTTATAGAGTAAATCGAATAGAGGAATTTGTAAAACAACTTGAGTCAGGAGATTTAAAACTGCGTGTTCGGGTACTGGAGGTAAGTGGACTGTGTTTTTCATTACTAACTTTGGTTTTGACTTGGGATACAGAAATTCTAAACAGATAATAAAGGCTTCTCAGCACTAGAAAATTCTCATCTTGTTTCTTTTGGTTATTTAATTTTAATGTGAAATTGCAATCACCATATACCAGTCCGAGAGAGCAGCACGTAAAGCAACCATTCTGCAGATGGCAACCATGTACACGGTACTAGGAGGCACGTTGCTGAACCTTGGAGTCACCTTTACCAGTCAAGGCAATCAAGTTATCGCAAATGGATCGTTCATTGGAGCAGGTGATATCGGCTCTCCACCTGTGAAATTACATCTGTGTATGTGTATGTTCTCTTGTGGCTAATAATCTTCTAATCTGTGACAATGCAGGAGTTTTCTTGACTCTAACTCTTAGGTCGATGCAGAGAGTGCAAAGGCTAGATAAATTTGAGAAGATGATATGATTCTTTTCTGAACAAGGCTAATCATCTTTCGCATTCATAATAAATCTTCATGTCTATTTTTCAGTTATATTCTTAGCTAAGGAAAATTTATAACTAATTTGCCTATTACAGGCCAAATTCATTCTATTTGAGGCATATACAGAAGTAGTTTGAATGCCTCTTGTTTGGAAATTTATAGTTGTGCACCCATTTGAGATTCAGATTTCATAGTATTAATGAATAAATTTCTAATAAAAAAAAAAAGGAAAAAAATGCATCTGCTTCTCTCCCTTTGGCTACCAGTTTAGGGCACATTCGGGGTTATCGTCACAACACTTTTTCACATAACACTTCATAAAGTGTTAATTTATTATAATTAAATTAATTCTAATTTTTTATATTTTAGTGATCATATTAATATAAAACATTTTTTAAAAATAATTATTAAATAATAACATTATTTTTTTTAATAAAATACTAAAAATACAATTATAATATTTTACAGTTATCTTAAATACAATCTTAACCCTCTTAAAAACCTTCCAATTGTTTGCCTCTAAGATCATGAGTCTCCTAACATACACTATAAACTTTAGCTTATAAACTCTACATTATTGATATAATTAGCTAAAATAAAAAGAATCATATCACGTAAATTACATGATTGTCTCTATTTTATTATTTTATCCTTGTTAGTGCTATGCTTGTATAAATATGGTTTACTTGGACCCATGGAAGTGGGAAAAATCCTACTAAATTAGACTTGGGTGTTTTGGGTGAAATTTATCCACCTCCATAAGTTTAAGTAAACCATGTTTATACTATTATAATTTACATAGCACTATGACTCATGTTAGAAAATTCTATTTATTTTAAATCAATTACAATAATAATCTAAAGTTTATAAATTAAAATATATATTGTATTTTAAAAAATTAATAATTTTCAAAAATTTATGAAAAAATATTTCACAATACTTTTGTACAAAAAGTTACTATAGTGATAATAACAAATCTCCCTTTCCCAATAAGCCTATTAACTCCTTCCTGGGACTCTTGGAAAACAGGCAAGGAAAAGGTGTTCCGTTCGGTATTATGTCAATATATTCATCCTGGAAATAAATGAGATGACTTCTGTTATTTAGAAGTTGGCTGTCATTTTTGGACCCTTTTAGGGGACTTGAGAGCTTATGATGCCATTTTCCATGGGAGATAGCAGCAGAAGCTGACTGCTGACTCTAAAACTCAGAGGGCCTTTAATTAAATTTTGGAATTGACTTTAGAGGCTGCAGTTATTTTAGACTTTTTCGGAACACATCCACCCAGTCTTCAAAGGCAACTATTCAACAATTGCAAATTTGTTGTTTTAGTTTATCTTTGAATCAAACATTCTCACTTCGTCGTTAACAACAAATATTGTATGAATGCCGCTAAGGCTTGCATTCTGATTGTTTTAAATAATTAAAAATTTGAAAGTTTATATTAAAAATTAAAAATTTAAGGTGAATGAAGAGAAAGGAAAAAAAATTATTTTTAATTATATAATTTATTATTTTATATAAAAAAATATAAATTATTCACCACATATCTTGAGTAGTAATTATTTTTATATAATAATATGAGTTTTCAAGTTTAACTCTTAAAACATTTGAGTGAAATAAATTAAAAAATAACTAATAATTTTAAGTTTAAATTGTGAAATGGATAAAATCCATACTGCATCTCTAATATAGAAACATAACTTAAAACTTCATGGGGAAAGTTAAAAGGGACAACTAATTCTGAATGAAGGCAGCAGTACTTAAGCTGATCTTAGTAGTAGATTTTTTTTTTTTTACCAGATTTTTAGTAGTAGATCAAATGAACAAGTCAATGAGCAAGCAACAATGTCTTCCTTTTAAAAAAATTGCGTTAGTGCTTCTATGCCAGACTGACAAAAGCTCTTTGTTTGAATTTCATGATAGTCAACTATTTGAGCTTTACAGCTTGTTGAATTTTTATGGAAAATATTCTTTTTTAAAAAAATAATAAAAGAAAATATAGAAGGCTGATATATTAAAAAAAAAAAAGTGAAAATCAGGATTTGTTCATATTTATTGTATCTTTAAATTGAGGAAAAGAGAGGGTAAGAGAATGGAAGAAAATGGAACAATACAATTTTGCTCTCTTTTTTTTTTTTTTTTTGGATAAGTAAATAAGTTAAAAAAATAAAATTAGAGGAAAATTTCTCTTCTCCCTTCCTTTTATTTAAATAAGTAAATAAATAAAATGAGGAAAATCTTCTCTTCACCCTCTTTTTGTTTCGATAAATAAATAAATAAAATAAAATAAGGAAAAAAATTTCTTTCTCTTTCCTTCAATTATTTTGATAACTAAATAAAGAAACTTTTGCCCTCCCTTCCTTTTCATTTTTTTAAATTCAAACATATTATTAAAATATTAAATTTTATTTATAAAATTATTTAAATATTTTTAATAAGTCTTTCACCATTTTTATTAAAGGTGCATATTTTGTTTTTGAAAATAATTGTAAAGTTCAAAATATGGAGTAGATTGTGATATCATATGAACAAAACAGGAATTACCTTAAAAGGTGTATCCGAACATATAGCGATCTGTGATCCTAAGTTCAAAGTTTTAGTTTTGAAGTCTGATAAAAAATTGGTTTTAGTCACAGAGGATTGATGTAATTTAAAAAAAGATTTTTGTGTGTGTTTTATGAGTGTATTAATTGTATTTTTTTATTAATTGTTATAAAAAAATAAAAATTTATTTTAATTTTATTAATTACCCAATTAAAATTATTATGTAACATTAATGGTGAAAATAAAATTATTTTTTATACAAATTAACAAAAAAAGATTATTTAAGACACAATCAAAATAAATTTTTATAAAAAAATTAATTTTTAGTAACAATTTTCTAATTTTAATTATGGTGAGCAAATGAAAAGACTCCGCTTGCGTCTAGTGCTGTATAGCTTACCAAGTAAAAACAAAGCATGAATTTTTTTTTTATTGACATGAATCGACAAGAAAATTCCTTTGGTTGTGGGAAAACATTACTCCACACATTGAACCCACGTAACTCTTTGGTTCCCTTCTTCGTCCTTGATCTAGACGAAGTCCATGCAGGTTTAGAAAATGGAATTATCTCTTTGGTTCCCTTCTCTGTCCTTGATCTAAAACGAAGTCCACGTAGGTTTGGAAAAATAGAATTATTCCAAAAGAAAATTTTTATTTTATTATTTGAATGGTATTAAAT